AAATGGATAAAGATATCAATTAAACTACAACAAATTACCATAAACTATTATTATCATAAATTATCATAAATTAATACAATATCTGATATCAAATTATTAATTTCAAAATTTCAAACGATTAAAATTATATAAAATTATATAAAATTATATAAAATTATATAAAATTACTAGCAAGACAAGATAAAACAATAGAAAATTGTTATTGAACCCATTGTGATGCAGTGATACTGATTGTGAATGCTGTTTTGTGTCACTTAAACAATTTTTTTTGTGCGCGTGAGATGTTTATTTAATTTCCCATCAAACTTTTCTTTCGTGTAGCGTGAACATTTCCATATTCGTAAATCGATTATTAATGGGGCTTACCTAAAAGTTATTCTAAATGTCGTTCTGTTTATTTTTTTCTTTGATAAAATTTATACTTATTATTTCTTATCATGCATATCGTGTTGATATTTAAGATTATAAATACGCGACCCTATTTTGACCTATTTGGGTTTAGTATAAAAAAATATCCGCGTGGGTAACTATTTCATTTACGTTACTGTAAAAGGTTTTCCCGAACGTATACTTTTAAAGATCCCTTAAATTTGTTCGTTATTGTTTCATTTTTAGAGTTTATGTTATTCAAATCGTCGATCAAAGTTTACTTTCCTTTTTATCCCTCTTAGTTTAAGGTGATGTTGCCGGATTATGTTGTCGTTCACCAGAACAAATAACATATTAACTTTTTTTTCTTATTTGTTGAACTGTTATGTAATCAAACAAATTACTATTTGTTAATTTAATATAAACAATATCAAATTAATTGATTTTTTATTTGACTGATAAGCAAAATTTATTCTCGCAGATAATGGTATCACACAAATAAACGGTAACGTTCACGCTTTCACTTTAATTATGTACCAACAACTTGCGAGAAAGTTTATTTCATCAAAACAATTAATTTGTATTAAACAATTAATTTGTCTTTTCACAAAGAACCCGAAAAAAAGATTCACCCCGCATTATCATTTTTTTCATTATATTATTCAAAACATTATCAAAACATTCTCTAAACATTCTTTAAATGTTCATGTGTTTATTAAAAACAACATTATTGACGAAATAACTTTATAAAGATGACATTATATTAATAATCATATAATCATTATAGTAATAATCATTATAATAATAGCATTTATTGTCAAAACAAAGAACTATCTTCCATTTTAATTACGTAACGTTATTTGATTTCGGTAATAGCCAAATGCCGAAAAATTTTTCAAATTAAATGCATCATACAAGTTGTACTGATTACTAATTTACTTGTTTGAAAAGTTCCCTTTCAACTAAAAAAAAGGGTTTATTGTTTCATGCCGTCATAATTTCATTACTTTTCTTCAAAAATTTCAATTCAAATTTCAATTCGGTTTCCTTTAAATTAATTGGTTAATTACATTAATTGGTTAATTGATACACTATCGTTATATATTTAATTCGTGATGTATGTACATGTGTATAAAAACAGGTACAAGAACTCGTTTCAATTTAATTTATCTAATATATCGTTATTTTTTAAAATGTACCGCCACATGTACAAAAAAATACAAAAAAGAAATACAAAAAAGAATGTTTTTCGTTACTACGTAGAAATAACAAATAAAATAATTTAATAATAACAAATAATAATCAATAACCTGCTACTGTATACGTACACTGTGTATACACTGTAAACGTATACACTGTAAACGTATACACTGTAAACGTATATACTGTAAACGTATACAATATCGTATACGTACGTACGTAAAAATCAAGCATAACAGATAATAACTGATAATATAAGCAAATACAAAAATCAAGTATATAGTATTTTTTATTATTATATACCTTAGGTTATCCGATTATAGTAATAAAAAACTAGACATTTGAATACATATATATCAAATATATATACAGTATATTTCAAAATATTTAATAATAAAGAAAATTCTCGCAGCAAAAAAGCAGCCCCAGGTTTTTTTTTTGTTTTTTTTTCTTTAATAATAATTGTTATTAAACAAAAAATATTATTATTATTATTATTATAATGCACAATTTTTACACTATCATGTGGTTACACATTTTACACATTTAATACACTTTTTTTTTTTTTTGTGGTAATGTTTGTTATGTTATTAACTATTTGATTTATTGATGTGGCTAAAGCCACCTTTCAAAAAATTTTTTAAAGTGTTTGTGTTTATTATTATTTGCGTTATTACAAGTTATTATAGTAATTATAGTCTTATATTAGTCTTATATTAGTCTTATATTAGTATTATAGTATTATAATAGTATTATAATAGTATTTAATAGTATTAAATGATATTACCAATATTACTCTCATGACCAAACATGTACACTTACTTACGTATCTAAAAATATTTTGTTTCCTTTTTTCTTTTTTTTTTTTTTTTTAAAAAAAAAACAGTTATGTACAGTACAAATAAAATAAAAAATCGATTAATTTGAAATTTTAAATGGGTTCTCATTACGCCTCTCATTACGCGTTGATAAAATTCGAAATTTGGTAAAGTGTACTTATGTATACATAAATCAATTTATCCATTAATGGTAATATGTTTGTTATATTTACGGTAGGCTGGTTTTCACGCATTCGCGCTTACGTTCACAATGTAAACAAAGGACCAACAAACTTCCCTTTGGTAATCCCAAAAAAATGTAAGATTAGTTTGCTTATGTCATCCATTTATCTGTTTACGTTTATTCATTTATTCATCTCATTAATCTATCTGTTATGTTATGTGTATGGTCGAAAATCCATCCAAAAAAAAAATTTGCATAAATCTCTTTTTTTAACATGTGATACGCAAGTAATTCAAATAGTTCTATAGTTATTATATCTTTCCACAATTCTTTTTTTTTTTTTTTTTATTGTTGGTCCTGTTTTTTAAAAAAAAAAATAAAATAAAAAATAAAAAAAAAACTTAAAAAAAAAAAAAACGGACCATTGGACCATTCCAAAAAAAACAAATTTAACAAATTTATCAAATTTATCAGACAGGTATATGACAAATCAAAGAATAACTTTGAAGAAAAAAAATGTATCATATATATCAATCAAAAAAGGTATATACACGAAAATAATATTTTTAAATTTCACAACAAAGAAATAATATATCGAAGCTATATTTTTTTTTTGATTTTTTTTTTGCGATTTTTTTTTTTTTGCTTTTTTTTTTTTTAGCCTAATCGATAAAATGACGATAAATGATGTTCGAAGTTTCGTAAAAAATGATAAATAAGAAATTTTAATAATTCGGTTAATTATTACTTATCTCAATTATCTCGAATGAATATAATAATTGCGTAAAAAAGTTTTTTTTTTTATATAAAAAAAAAAAAAAAAAAAAAGGATTAAAAAATTAAAAATCATATAGTTTTCATCGATTATATAATCTTAAAAAAAAGGATCGTCCCAAAAATAGATATTTAAAAAAATTTTTGAGAAGTTTTTTCAATTTAATAAATCTCGTATTTTCATTGAAGAATTAGATTCTTCATCTTCTCGCTTAACATATTGATGCTTCAATTGTTGTTCTGTTACGTTTCGTGAACCATTTCTTTCCATAGGTTGGCCTCCCAAATAAAATAATGAACGCGCCTCTTCTTTTTGATCAATGTCCATATTTATCGTTTCTCTTTTTATTGAAGATTCGTTCGCATTCCACTCAGAACCTGATCCCCCACCTTTATTATTATTAGTCGAATAATGTGACATATCTCTATTCGAATTATTTACATCCGTGGAAAAGTCAGCTAAATGAAATACATCATATCTACCCGAAGACGTCCCACTAGAATTAGATAAACCAGAAGGTGATTGTGATGGTGAACCCATGTTACTAAAATTAGATTCGGATGAATTTCTTTTGTTATAAAATGCTTTTTTTTTGTTATTAGGTATCATGGATGATGCTGTTGGTGGTGGTGTCATTAATGATGATGAAGAAGATGAAGGGGATATTACTGGTGGTATTGATAATTGTAACGAAGGTATTCGATCATTTGGAACATTAA